TCCTGTCAGCCTGGTGTCACTCAGCGGGTGACAAAAGACACCCGGATCGGCTTCCCCCGGCCTCTTGGGTTTCAGGTAAAACAGCCTCTGACAAATGAGAAGGCATAATTACCCTTCAGGGCTGGATCAGCCTGRAACACCTCTGGCTCTGTGCAGGGGTTTGCTTGGTGGAGGACAGAAGGGAGATGAAACAGAGCTGGGTAAATGCTCAATARGGGCCCAGTCCAAATCACTACAGAGTGGCACTTGGGGTGTAAAATTGGCTCTTAGGGAGCAGAGGTCTGTCGTGTGTGTGCAGAGGGACTCACAGACCCACCAGGAGTTTGGGGACWCCCCTCTCCTGAGGGTGCTGAACTCCTCCCCAGGTGCTCACCCAGAGATTTGGGTGAACCCAGAAGAGCTGCACAGCAGATTGTGGGTCAGTGTAAATGGGACCCTGARCTCTACATGAGATATTGGAGGGCTCTTTGAGGGGGTTTCAATTTTTTATTTTTAACTGCAGTCTGGCTGAGAAAGTAGGTTGGAAAGGAAAAAGTGTCACTGAAGAGCAGCCCTGGCAGAGGGAGAGACCCTGGTGCATTAACACTGAAATATCAGCTTTTCAGATGAGCTCTGTTGGAGGCTCTTTATTATTGCCATTGATGATCAATAGATACTGGAAATTTTTTACTCTGCTTTCAACTTTCAAGTGATTTCCCTTTGAAGACATAAAATATCTTGAGAGGAAGCTATTTAAAAGAGGTGCAAATTACKCTCAGAACAGTACTAATCACCTCTTGAGATTTTTCCCTGAGGTTGATTTACAGTTATCAACAACAAAAAAGTGTGAAAACCACTCATTTTTCTAATAGTGCTTTATTGTAGGGGAGAAAACGACCTTCAGTGGTGGGTGAGGTGTCCACTCTGTGCTGGGGGTTTGCCCATGGCTGGTGCTGGAGGGACCTGTGTGATTCCAGACAGTTCAGGGGTTTCTCCCACCCTCAGAGAGGACTATGCTCCCCCAGTCCTGTCCTCCTGGAGGTTTTGGAGTCTCTTAAAGTGCGTCAGGAGAAGTGTCAGTGCTGGAGGGCAGGGAAAGCTCTGGGTCTGTGTGACTCCCTGAGCCAGAGAAGGGGAATAAAGGTGGAGGGAATGGAATGGGAATGTGTGGAGAGCCCTTGGCAGCCTTGGCACAACAGCCCAGAGACCTCTCTTGCATCTTCTCTTCTCTCYCTGTGACTGTGCTTGGTGGGCTCATACTCCTCTTTTTCTTCTGTCTGTGTTTTTGTCTCCACCCAGGGCGGTGATGGTGACTCAGTGGATAAGAACAAATGCTGCACAYTATGTAACATGTCCTTTACCTCAGCAGTGGTGGCGGAATCGCATTACCAGGGGAAAATCCATGCCAAAAGGTTGAAACTGTTGCTAGGGGAGCAGCCATCACTAAAGGCCACAGGTAAGTGCAGAGGAGGAGTGGAGCAGGAGGGGCTGGGGCAGAGTGGAGTGAGCTC